TATTCGCAAAACACTTTTATTGTGGTCATTTCCTCCAATCACAGGGCAGGGCCAGGGAGGAGTGTTCATTTCCTCCAATCACAGGGCAGGGCCAGGGAGAGCATGGTCATTTCCTCCAATCGTGTATGAGTCCTATAATACATCTGGTGGCAATAAATCACAGAAACACGGACCTCCTGAACTATTTTCTCATTCAGTGACGACTGGTGTCCCTGTAGAATTGTGTGTGCAAAGGATCTCTGATTAAAGCTGACCTCATGTGTCATATTTGGTAAGTGTAGATGTCTGTATTGCCATACTGTGATTTGCTATACTCAGACCCAATCCAAGGAAACACATCCAACAACAGTGATTTCCAAGCAGGCATGAGGGGCCCTACCCCGAGCCAGACACTATGTTAGAGCCCTGTCTACAAGGCCACAAGCCCAGCATTTTCTGTAAGTTGAGGAAAAGACGCAGTTAGTGATACATGATTAAGACCGAAACAGAAAAAAAAAAAAAAATCTAAATCATCTTGATGTAAATTAGGGTTTTAACACATCCTACCACTTGTGCATTTCATCACAGGACTGGAAGATTTAGCTAAACAAAAATGTTTTAATTATCATGTGTATATAGCAGAACTGAAACTGATGTCACAATATGTAATGAGAGCCAAGTCCAATTTTCATTTTAAATGGCTAGCTCTAATAGTCCACCCAGGTGTTATAAAACATTAAAATAAAAATGTTGAAAACCAATGTGATGCTGGAAAGTGGACAAAATTGGTGCAAGACTAGTGACATTTCACAACTGAAGTAAAAACATTAGAATCCTCTAAAAAACAACTAGGGCCTAAAAGGAACATTTATGGACACTGGTTTTTAACCTAATACATTAAAAACTCCAGAAACTGCTTTAGCTCTTTCAGGAATAAAAAAAAAGTAATAATTACACACTCTAGATATCTTTGAAAAGGCTTCTATTGTTAATTTCAGGTACTATATTTGTACCTGAAACTATCCCAAATTCTCCCTTCACTGGGTTAAAGGGGAGGCTCAGCACAAGAAATCTTAAATGTATTACGATCAGTCAATATTGATAAACAAATGCTACTCTAAGACCTATCAAAAGCAAAGGGTCTCAAAAGTAATTAGAAACCAATTCACTAATTTCGATACTCAATTGTACATTAGCATTTAAAACTTTACAGTTGAAACTGCAGAGCCAAGAAGTCTACAAGGATCCAGATTAAAAAGCTGCATGTGTGTTTTATTTTTATCTTGAGATTCATGTTTGTCATCATCATCTGAGCGGCCACTGTATCTAATGATGAAGCTAAGAACTGAAGTTGAATGATAAATAGGACCGTTTTCAAAAGGAAACCTCAACTCATGGTCACTTTTCTATAAACACTTGTGCATTTTTATTTACGCTGAATATTCACCTCTGCTTTTATTTCTGGCCTTCTCCCCTGCCTGCCTGTTCCGTGGCCTGGCCCCAGCTCCCTGCCCCAGCTTACCTGACACTCCCTCCTAGTGTTCACCCAGGGCTGGGACTAAATTCTGTTTCAAGAGCTCAGAAGTGTCTTTACCGACAGAACTAAGCTCACTGGCCTGGGTTCTTAGTATAATGAAGGCCTTAAAACTTTGGGAATGGCGCACCTGTCTATCCTTACTTTCCACTATCCACACAAAGTGATCCATTGCTCCAAACTGGGTTCTATATTGTCTCTAAAATACAACCGAGACGTCTCCATTGGTAGGCTCTTGCTGCCTAGTAGATATGTCTCCTTGTGTCACATTACAGACTGTGATCTACCCTAGTGTTTAGTTCTTGTGTTGGGATTTAGCTTTTCCTATGCTGGTCTCCTCTGTACAACTAGGCCTTCCATGTCTCTGGATCCCTTACAATGCTTATAAAGTGCCTGGTCCCAGCATGGATGCTCCTATTTTTGTTGTTTTTATTGGCAGAGTCCACATAACAAATCACAAATGGTCATGAAAATCAGGACTGGACCCACGGATAACCTGGAATACTATCTGACTATCCCGAACAGCATTACGCAGGCATGAGTCTGGCCAGGAGAGATAATACAACAGCCAATCCCTACTGAGTGCCTGATACGAGCCTGGCACTTTTCTAGGTGCTGTACCGAAAAGCATGTGATAACGCTCTGAAGTTAACTACAATCGCTATCCTCATTTTACAGGTGGGGAAACAGAGGCACAGAGAATTTGGGTAGTTGCTCAAACAGGTAAACAGCAGCGCTGGGATTCAAACCCAGACAGTCTGGTTCCAGAGTCAGGACACAAGCATGACCCAGAACTGACTCTCTGCAGACAGGCTAGGGGACCAGGAGCAGTGAGCTGGGAACACCCAGGAACCAGGGAAAGAGCTGCCAAAACATCAACTATTTTCACTGCTCATGGGCAATGCTTACCTGAGCCACTATGTGATAAAATAATCATTTCAGCAATTAACTAGGTTCTCTAGTTTCAGGTTGTCAATTTTAAATGCAATTTAAAATACATTCACAAAATGATTAGCTCAGAAAATGATCGAGTCTCTTTCCTCTCATTAGATATCTATTTATATATCTAATTATAATTTTTCCTTATGCCTAAAGATACTAACACAGGGATAAATTATTTACACTTGTCATAATGTAACCACCTTCACCTGGTTAGAACATGATAAATCATTAACCTCAATGGCAAAAGCAGAAGGCTCTTGACTTCAGCACAACCAGAGATAAAAACATTAGTTAGAGCAGAGAGAGAACTACTCTACAGAGCCAATACTACGTGCATCCAACATAACACATGCCATTGTATAGGTCCCCGGCTGGGCACAGGCCCAATCTGTTAATAAAATTAAGTTTTAGTTGTTTGTTTCTTTGACCTTGAACAGAGGAACACAGATAACTGAAAACCACTTTGGCATTGAGTCCGTATACGGACAAGACCTGAAAGGGAATCTAGAAAAGTGACAACTGTGAAACAACAGCTGCCCTTTGTGTTTCTATTGCTTTAGTTTCTGTCATGAACATTGGGGTTTTAGATCACACACATAGTTCATGCCCACATAAACACAGTGTACTAGGACAGTCACTTTAGTTTTTATTGAATAGCATGTTGTTAATCAATCTTTGGAATTGTTGGGGGTGATTCATAGGAAGTAGCCCCCAGCCCCAGGTTCCATTCCTAGATACTCACTTGAGTTTGCCACATAAAATCACATGTGGCATTACTGACAGACTCAGAGGGAGGGAGCAGAATGAAGGTATTCCATGTGGTTAATGCCTAGGACGATGTCCACTTAAGAAAACACCTAGGTGGTAGGCAGCGCACAACAATCACCATTGCCTGGAAGTCCTGGTGGGGGGACTGCTATCTACATATCCTACATATCCCAGAAAGGCCAGGTCATTTTTATTAGGGACAGGGCTTTGGGAAGGTGTGAGCACAGAGTGGATGAGGGTGACGGGGGTGAAGTGTTACATCCGCCCTGCCACATAAGCCAAATTAACCCTGAAAGTCAATCAGGTGACAGCTGTCACAGACCGATCCCTTTCTAAGATGGCATACGCTAGGCAGTCGATTTCATTTTGTTTTATTTCAATTAATTAATTCATTCTGGAGAGGGCAGAATGAGGAAGTAAAAGGGCATAACTTTTTCCCCCTTGGTAACCCAGAACCCGGAGGCCTTGAGGGTTACCACAGAGATGAATACTTCACATTCCCCTTTAAGTGGCAAGCCCCCTATTCTAAAAGGCAGGTGATTAAAAAAAAAATTGTGTGTTCGGTGGTGTGCAGAAGTCTCAAGCTTCACCAAGATGGGCTCAGTATGAAGCATTTGTACTTGTACAAAGTGGCAAATGTTACAATGATTAACAGTAAAACAAAGACTTAAGGAAATTACGAGGCAAATTTCCATGGAGTTTTCAGTAGTTATTTGTGTCTGGAGGTGGCTTTGTATTTTATGACACTGTAGTTTTTAATTTCACTAAAGAGGAGCTAACCAAATTTGAGGATTTTGTTTTTTGCCTCAGCTTCTAAATGCCTCAGGGCAAATTCAGGCTTGGTTCCGTGGCAATTGATGGTCTCAGAGGCCTTCAGCATGTTTAAATAGCTGCTGTTCTGTTTATTTTGCACTGTTTTATCCTGTAAGCTGTCTCAAGGCCCTTCCAATATAAGCAGGAGGATTTAAATCTCAATAAATTGAAATCTGAATGACAGAGGCAATCTGGGCTTGGGGGTCCTGAATGATTGGGATAAACATCTCTATTTCCCATTGCCATATTGTGCATGTTCTGTGCATAATGCCCTGAGATCAGCGTCGGTCAAAATTAAAATATTAACAAGCAGCAATAAGAATGATAATGTTTAGATTTAAATTGTGTTTTTCAGTTTATAAGGACTTTTATTTACAGTTTTTCATTCTAAGAATAGTTCTAAAAGATAGGAAGAATAGGTGTTACGCCCACTTTATAGATAAGAAACTGAGTCACTAAAAGATTAAGACATGCCCCCCAAAATATGGACAAGTGTTGGCACCAGGACGAGAGCTCAGTTCTTTCCAGAAGCCTTGCCATAATTTGGCCAGCTGTGTCAACATCTGTGTGCCAACAATAAGACTCAATCATATCTCTATTGAACTTACTGCAAATGCCTTCCTATACAGCTTATAACAGGGACATTATAGAAGGCTAGTCATCTTTTTAAAAAAGATAACCAAAGAGATTGTTCATCAGATCAATCAATTCTGGGATTGGAAGTGACAAACAAGCAATGCTCAAATACCTTTCTCTAGCCTCCTGTTAATTTCATGGAAGGCATAAAAAAAATATATAACTTTTTTACTTGTAATTTTAACACCAAAATAGTCTGTCCTGTCATTTCTCATCACTCGGCATTCCTGGGGGTTGAATTTTTAGACACAGTAGAAATAAAAACCAAGAATTTCAAAGATACAGTCTAACATTAATAGAAACAACAACAACAATTAAAAAGGCTTACCTTGCAGCCTTCACATGTAATGACACCATAATGGATTCCTGATGATTTGTCTCCACAGATCTTGCATGGAATAATTTCAATTTGAGCTGCAACAGAAGCACGCAACCAGTTAATTACATTTTCTTTTAAACACCTTATAAAAGCGTTCCCTGATCAGCATTTGTATAGTGAAAACTAATAACCTGCTAAACATTATACTGCATTAACTATTCATTGCTGAACTGTGAGGGTCCCCCTAGAGCCCTGGACTAAATTATGGCTGCTCGTTATATAATAGCTTTCGGGTTATTAAAATGGGTCATTTGAGAAGGTGTTTAAGGACCCACAAGAAGGCTGGAATCAGCATTTCAAAGCCTTCCAGAACTGGAGAGTTCGCAGTTTAGGCCTCAGAGCAAAGCAGATACTAGAATGTTTCCTCCGGTCTCATTTTCCATCATTATTTTTAAAAGGTCATAAATCTGTCTCAGCCGAGCGCTGTAGCTCCACTGGTGGAGAAAAACATACTCCAGAAAGTCCAGACGACTTAGGAAAATGATTCGATTCAAATTATTAATCTCACCTCTGACGGTAAGGTAAGGATTCCTTAGTCATCCTTTTTCAGCTCACATCGTTGCCATGTGCTAAAAATGAGTCCATTTGTGTACGATCAAAACCTTCCAACCATAAAGATAACGGCCTATCTGGTTTTAATAATGATGAATCCTGACAAATAGAGTAAGTAGCCTCTAAGTTCCTCACGTTGGAAATTGATTTCCTGGTACAATGTGCTTGTGTTTCTATCCAACTGATTAAAGATGCCTCATGCTGTAAAACTAACCAAATAATTAATGTATATATTACACCAAAGTTCTCAAATATGACAAAGCACAGCTCTAAGCAAACACATTCTATCTTGAGCAGAGTTGGAAAGAGCATAATTAAAAAATAACGTAAGGATAAAATAATTAGGCAAAACAAAGTACCTGGATCAGCTATGAAATATAATCTGTATATGAAAAAAAGGCAACCGACACTGAGGTGTGTATACAGAAGGGCAATGTTCACCAGTTTTCCTGGAATGTTCCATTATGCTAAATTTATTTTCCACGGTTTTCACCACTGGATATCATATCAGATTATCTACTAAATGACACACACAAATACAACTGCAAGTGCTCAATGGATTTCATTTTCATATAGCTCCTACCCGGCCCCATGCCTTACTCAAAGCAATGACTTGTCTAAGGATGTAAGGTACACAATGTAAGTAACACACATCTACACGCAGCCCACTCTTTCCCCCCAATGTAATCCCATATCCAGAGATAATTTCCACAACACTTTGAATTTGATGTGATGTTGTATTCAATAATAAGAGCATATATGAAATTCTTGGATTTAACCTCATTATAAAGCATGTGTACCTGCTAACTTCCTTTCAAGGGGACCCGTACAAGTACTGATCAGGGAGTGCAAGCTATTCAAGAGAGTCCTTTTCCTATGAGTTACTTTTAGGGTTGACATACCGAGTTTTACTGTCCAGAGTTAGAGATGGTTTGAAATATCACATCCAATATATTTTCCATAATCCTGAAGCTTTCTAAGATCCCAATAATGGTGTCTTTGTACACTGTTGAATATGTCTATTTCTGAGTTATGCAACTTAATATGTTATAAAGTCGCACTTAACAAAAACAATCACCTCCAAGTCTGCCTCCTATTCCTTAGTGCCTAGGAAAATTCTCTATGAAATCTGAAATCTTATAATGTTTCACACCTATGGTCCCTCAATATTCCTAAAATAGTCGAGGCAGTTTTGTGCTACAGATTGTCTGCAACTCGAGAGAGAGATGGTTAATGCCCAACATTTTTCAGGGACTCACAAAAGCCAACTGGTAGCTGAAAGGTGATATCAGCTGAGAGTTATTGCCTGGGTTTTCCCCTATGAATGAACTAGTCTATAACGAGAACCTGCCTCCCCCACCCTGACTCCTAAGGAACAGAATAATTAGGCAACACAAAGTACTTGGACCATCTATTAAACAAAATTTATACGTGGAATAAAGAAGACAGACACCAAGCTGCCTCTGCGTATGTCTCACCTCAATCTGTAATCACAGAAATTAGACATAGACAGACCTGGTTAGGCTCTGCAGTTGAAGTCAGCACCAAAATTATCTGAGGCAATTAAAGCACCACTAGTGCTAAACTTGGGCCTTTCAAGAGTTACCTTCATTCCACCTTAACAATGGGGAGATGGAGCACATCTCTGTAGGCCTTTGCAAGCCACGAAGGTCCTGGGCGGGCCATATTGGGAAAGCTGAGGAAAACTATATCTGAATCAAAGGGAAAATGATATATTGCTGTCCAGTGGGCTTGGGCCCTTAGATTTCCCATCAGAAGTGAAATGATGATATTTAAGCCAGTGACCCACATGCCTGCTAACGGCTGCTGCAATCCTGCAAGTGACATGGAGGTCTGGTTTGGAGGGGCCTGCTCATGATAGGGATGGTCCTGGGAGTGCCATCCTGGCCCAGCACTCTCACCTTTGAAATGGCTCATGGCCTAGCTAGGGGGTAGGAGGGTCCTTGTAACACAAACCCAGAGTTTGGTGCCTCTACCAACTATTAGCCTGAGTCAGGCTCTCAAACTCTTGGTCTTCCCGTGGGCAATGTTGGCCAAAGAATCAGAATTAGTTAGAACAAGCTTCACTAGGAAGCTCATGGTAATTAGGGTAATGGGAGGGTTCCCCAAAGCAAGGTTCAGGTATTCGGACTGGTCAGATCAAATTATTCTACCAGCCTACCCCCTGCAGGGCAATCTTTTCCTTTTTTATTTTTTAAATATGTTTTTATTGATATTTTAGAAAAAGAGGAAGGGAGAAGAGGAGAGAGAAACATCAATGAGGGAGAGTCATTGATTATGCCTCCTGCACGCCCCCTACTGGGGGTTGAGCCCGTAACCGGGGCATGTGCCCTGACGAGGAATAGAACCTGCTACCTCTTGGTGCGCAAGCCGATGCTTAACCAACTGAGCCACACAGGGAGGGCCTGGGGGCAATCTTATCTCAGAAGACAATTTCAGTTACAAGTGCTCCTTAAGAAATGATTAAAATACACCTGCTCCGAAAAGCAAACTCTCTGACTGTGATCTGATCACACATGTTGATATTTCCGGAGAGCAAACGTTTGCAGATTGGAGCAGGGCACTCACCTTCCATTTAATCCAACAATGCACAAGGGCCGCCCCCTCCACCTTTTAGTCAACTTACAGAATTCAGCTGTAGCAGCGAGAATGAAAAATGTAGTCACTGGCTTGCAAATTTTTCAAAAGGAAAGCAGTTTAGTTCCATAAATTTGAGTCTTCAGTCCAAGAAGAGGAGGAAGGACAATAAAAACCAACCCCGGCCCCTTGCTTTCCACCCCTCAGGCTTTTCTATTTTCCAACAGGCAGTGCTGTGTCTTTTCAAAATAATCTTCTTTTAACACACATTATGAATCTTGGCCCATTGATAGACTGCGCGCATTAACTCAGCCCGTGTTTCAAAGGATGAGTTCTGTCGGACACCGCTCCTGTCACAAGTATATTGATTAAATTAGCCCACATACATATTCATGCAGCAAAGAGGCTTACTGTGTAGAGGAGTATCTGAAGCAAGACGCACACAGATCATCACGAACCGGCTTAACAATGAACAATCTTGCTATGAAAAATTCTAATTTGCCCACATTTTCAGCTCCATTGCCTAAATAATTTGCTCTCTCATGCACCCTGAGTAATTCGAGCAGGCGCTCCGCACCTGCAGAGGCAAATTTCTGCCGTTTCAAGGAGCTGACAACAAGTGGCAGTGGGGACGTCAGGAAATCCGACAACGCCAGCGCGCTAATTAGCCAAGGGGTCCTTGGGCTGCGCTGTCATTGAGCCTTGGATGTACTTCCACACAAAGTTTGCTTTGACTTTTAATTATAAAAGGAACAAGAACATGGGCACTGGCATTCTTAACACCTCATTTATTTCTGAGGACCTATTTTGGGAGATACCTTGGTCTTGAGAAATATATCCACTCTCCCAAAGAATTAAAAAAATACAGTAGTATGAGTTGCACCTATCACTTGACTCTTGGTAAACAGTGAAATCTTGGTAATAATTTAAAGGATTAAGAATAATGAATAATATCTAACATGTATCCGTGATTACAGTGTAAGGCATTATTGCATTCACTTCAACAGCCCCATGAGGTAGGTGATATCATCATCATCATCATCATCATCGGCGATTTTTAAATGAGAAAACAAATTCAGAGAGGTTAAATAACTTTCCCAAAGTCAGAGAGCTAGGAAGAGGTAAGACTGAAATTTGGACACATTTTATCTTTTTGTCTAACTAAAATTTTACACCCCCCCCATTCTGCACTGCTAAGATCCAATTGTTCCAGTAACGAATGTCAGGAGACTACTGCTCTTGGTATGCAACCATTACCAGAGGATCAAAAGACAGAAGTAATTTGGTTAAACTCACTCCTCAGAACTGATATCAAGATGTCTTTCTGAGAGTTACCTGACTAGTTTATCACTGGAAGTAATCATCAACCTTCTAGGCCATTCTTCTCAATTTTATAAAATTCCAAGCAGTTTCTGACCTTAAGGTGACCGATACCAAGGTTTAACAATTCTTAAGGTGGGAAAGTTACTTAACCTCTCTGAACCTCAGTTTCATATGTGAAGATTCAATGATGCGATGTATAAATGACAGAGCACACATATGATTATTACATATACATTCTCTATATATATACACACATCACACAGTTCTTAAAAGTCGTTGGCACTCAAACAGTCGTTATTATTATTGTTATTGTTGATAAGAAATCCTGCCTTATTGCGAAATGAAATTCTTTTCTGCAGCCCGTAAGCTCTTTCCAAAGTGGGGATAGAGTAAAGCTGCTTATTCTCCAAATAATAAGACAGGCCGTTCGCACCAGCCACCGCAGCAATCCTTTACAGCGCTGGGCTTAACTGCTCGCGGCACACAGTGCTGCGCTGCAATCAGGTGTGGATGTGCGGCATAGAATTTGTTGTTAATAATAGTAAAAAAAATTAAAAATTTA